AGTGGGTTTTTATTTTTTCGATATATAGAAACTATACCATGAGAGAGGATGAATTTATTGTTGACAAACTGCTTCGTTTTTAACTGCTACCGAAATAACATATTTCCCAGAAAGCATGTAACCTTACGACAACCTTGTGTTTTAACTTTATTTTCATTGTCACGAAAAGGTTTGCGGTAAAAACCTTTTTTCAATGACGTAAAAATATTGCAATTTCCAACCTTTCCTCCTTAAAGGAAAACTAAATGATTTTTAAATCTTTTTTAGAAAATATTTTTATTTGGGTTAAAAAACAAGCAAATTGTAAACCTTATTTTATGCATTTTTGTTTGCTGTCATGATTAGGTTAGCCGAAATTTTAAGTGAAAACCTTTTTCAAAGAAAACGAAATAAAGCAAATATTAACCTTTTCAGTGAAAATATTAATAAATAATAAGAAAATATTTTGCAAAGACCTCATTTAAGGGAAAGCAAATAAACGAGCATATGTAGCCATGTTTTTGGATTGTTTTTTAAGGTCTGCGAAAGTACAATACGAAAACTTTCTTTTAAAGGTTTCTCGACACAAGTATAAGTAATAGTTCTTTTTTAGAAACTTTTCATTCGAACAATTTCATTAAAAAATAAATAAAATTTTAAATAATTTGAATCTGGAGTTTAAAATTGACTCTTCAATACTTTTTTACAAATTTTATTTTTTTCTCGAATTTGGCTTTAGTTTTGCGGTTTCTTTAAAATTTGTGGCCTTCTCTCGTTCATTTTACCTTATTGCGAACCTAATTATGGCGTAGCAATAAAATATTCGCGCGAAGAGAATTTTATTTAAAATATTTATGTACAGAAAAAATTTGCCCAACAGTCTATTGTGAGCTATAGGGTCATCGATAATAAGACTCCGCGATTTATGACTAACGAGGAGTGATGGTGAAAATAAAATCAGCATTGTGCTTCTACCACCTTTATTTCCCTGACAAGCTGGTACCCGCTCTAAAGCTGGGTGGATTCAAAACCTAGACCCACAGTTTCTTTCATCATATCTTTGGAGTGAACTTGAGAACATTTTGTTCACAGAACTCGATGTATAATGTGCAAAACAAAAGACAGACCACCCTGAATAGGTTTTGACCTAATGATTGAATTTTCACGTTTTATAACTCAATCTTAATTTTTCAAAGGGGTGATCTCAAATATGCTTATTAATTAGTGCAGGCGATTATTTAAGTTACGAAATTAAACACAAAAAAGTGTTTTCTCTGAATAAGCATACTTTTTCTCCGACGGATTCAGATTTTGAACCCCTAAAGTATAGGGGGATAGCCACAATCTGGGGAATATTGTTCCTATAGTTTGATCATGAGGGCGATCCAAAGCTTGGATGCCTCTATCTTAATTTTATATTTTGCATATTTCGCCCCATATGGAGACCTTTCTAAGCGAGTTAAAAAAATTTTGAACATAATTTTGAAATTCGTTTATCCAAAGATAATTGCATGCAGAAAATAAACTTTAGTAGATATTTATTATTTTTATTACGTTATTAAGTAATAGCTGGAAATTTTTTGAATTATAAGGCATACAACTTTTTATACAATTTTTGTGTATGTAATTTTGCATGGCAAAATACAAAATCGAGCTAAGTCTAACGAATTGTTCCTGTGTATATTTAAAATTTGATTTCTCAGAAACTATTCAACCGATTATGCTCAAATTTTCCCTTTTCGTCATGTGAAATTATATATTTTAAAAGGATGTAAAAATTTTATACCTCTCAATTTAAATTTTGTCACTGCTGTAAAGGATTTTCTCGAAAAAGTTTAAGAGTTAGCAGGTATGTAAAAGTTCAACCATTCCTGAAATTCTGCAGCAGTCAAAAAATCGGAAAATAGTATTTTAAATCTGTTCTCTTTCTAACGTCTTATTTGAAATATCAAACAAATATACGCCTAAAATACATAAAATTAAAATGAAAAAGCAATAAATAAAATTTTAAACTAAGTTCTTTTAAAAACTAGAAAAACTTCTATTAGCCTTATTGTACCGAAACTTTGAGGCAATGCTTAATGTTCAAACTTCAATATTCTTATTCAATTAAAAATAATAATAAAAATAAAAGAAAATAAAAGAAAATAAAAAAAAAATAATCTCACTAAATTTAACTTTTGAAAATTATTGTAAACCCCTGATTCTCCTCCCTCTCAAAATACTGTCTTAAAAACTGTTGCTTACGTCATGCGCAACTTTACACTTATTTTACGGCTGCTGATCATTTACACTCTTGGAGTTTACTTGCTTGAAAAGTTTAAAAGTGAAGTTTCTTAATGATATTCTGTTTTATTGTTCCAAATCCCTTTCGTTGATATAAAAAGTAAGTACACGGTTTAATTACATTTCATTTGCCTTATTAAGTACTTAATTTACGCATTGTTATTTGTTTTTTTAAGATTATCAATTAATATTAACTTAAGAATTTAAAACTTAAATTTATGCTTGGAACGGCCTTACCCAAAGGACATTAAATGGTTATTATACTCTCTTCTTAATTTCAGCAAGTTTCAAGTAAACACTGGAACTTAAATTTAAATTTAATCATCAATACTTTAGTTTATTACTATTTTACCTTAATTTTATTTTTGGATGTATGAGTTGCCGATAGATTCAAGTCAATAGCATTTGCAGTACATTTATAGTTATTATAAAAAAATGGAAATTAGCAATAACGTTAGTTAGATTTACACTAATACCAAAATATAGCTCAGCAAATAAAAATAATATTTCAGAAATTGAAGATTTATCCATATTAAAAAGTTTTATGAGGCTCCAGACTACTTATCAGGATTTTAAAATAGAAACTGTGTATTATTGTAATTTGATTCTGATTTTTGCCAAACATTTATTGTAGCATTTATAATATTTTCTTAACCCACTTTCGAGTGTATCCATGGCTAGATGATTGTACATTTTTTTGTAAATGTACAATTTGGGTAACTTTCCGATTAGCTTAAGCACTTTTAATGTCAAGACAGGATAATACATGTTTTTTCGTTTTCTAATCACCATAAGTAGAATTGATTGCTTATAGGAATAATTGTGATTCATTTTGAAATTAGAATTCATTTGAGAATTTGATCTCCATAATTGATTAAAAATCGTCGAATACTGTCAAGTTTCGAATAATGTCCATAAAAATTTTTGTGACCAGTACTAATACACCCTAGTTCAGTTTGCTTTAAGCGATAGTTCGGGTTCAACATGGAAGATAACGTGATCGATTCTAGCGGCTCTTGGGTTGCTTCTACCACAAAATTTTCGGAACTTGAATGTAGTTTATCTATTGATTCGACTTCATACTTATGTTTTTTTTTGTTTTTTTTTTAAGGATGGGCACTTGGAACTATTGTCCACAGAAAGTGCCAGAACTGCTAACCCTCTTTTCGTTACCCAGTGGGCACCTGTGGCGAAGCCACGGCGGTGGAGCAGCGTCGCCCACGTCACACTACCACAACCCGTTTATAGGGCGGGTCTCATTCACACACAAAAGAGAAAGGACACAGAACACAGATACAGAGAAGAAAACATCCATGCCCAGAGGGGGATTCGAACCCGCAGCCACTGGCTCCGCAGTCAGGCACGCTGACCACTTGGCCACCTGGCCGGCTCATATTTATGTATAGTGCGAAACAAAATAACTTTCAATCTAATACGTAAATGGTTTACGTCTTGAGTCTCAATTTTCTTTTTTAGTTCGAGGACGTAATCTTGTACATGCTAATTAATTTATACGAACGATATTTTAAGTTACAAAACCAGAAAAAAAACGATTTTTTTTCCTCTGATGGATTTGAATTTTTGATCCTCAAAATATGGAAGGTAGTCAATATTTTAAAAGTTTTCCAGCCTGAAAATATTGCCAAAGTTGTTTAGGCAGTAGAGCGATTGAATGTTTGGATCTCTTAATGTTAACAAAGCTTTTTGAGTATTTCGCTATATTTGAAGAACTTTTTTAAGCGAATCATGAAGTTTTTGCACACTATAATAAGATTCGTTTGTCCTAATACACCCTAATAATAATACCTGTTTTATGGTGTTTCTTGGGTTTTTGTCTCTCAAATTATAGGGGTAGCCGCAATCTGGAAAAAATAATCCCAATAGTTATAGTCAGAAGAGCGGTTCAAAGTTTGTTGTGCCCCTTAAAGTTAATATTCTTTACGCATGAGACCACATCTTGAGAGCATCTTAAGTGAATTGAATTTTTTTTGCACTCAATTAAAAAATTCGTTTGTCCAAAGCTAATTCCATGCAAAATATAAATTTTAGTCAAAATAATTATTTTTCATCATTTTATTCAATGATAGTCTAAGAAATTGTGAATTTTAGTTAAAAAATTTTAAATGCCAAAGCGCAAAATTTGAGCGAAATCAATCGAATAGCTCTTAAAAATGCGACTTTTTCAAAATTCAATTTTAACAGGAACTATTCAATCCATTTTACTCAAATATTGTATTTTGCCATTTAAAATTTCCTTCGTTAAAATGTTATAAAAAATTGTATACTTTAAGAGTCAAAAAATTTTCGTCTATTACAAAATTAAATTTAAAAAAAGTAAATATTTACTAAAAGTTATAATTTGCAAAGAATTATCTTTGGATAAACGAAATTTATATTTGTATGCAAAATTATTTTAATTGGTTTTAAAAGTTCTCAAGACATGGTGAAATACGCAAAAAGTAAAATTAACATTAAGGAGTCTAAGCTTTGGACTCAGACCTCACTATTAATAGTGAGGGCCAATTGGGACGATTTATTTCGGATTGCGAATACCCGTTGGACGGCTCTTTGGACCAACCTATTATTGGGACTGTCGTTCCTAACCGGATTGACTGTGTTTGTGAGAGGCATCTTGTCTATTGATTGATAACGTTTAAAAACAGGCAAAACGAAACATTTATTTTAAATAAAAAAACAACAAAAAACAAAACAAAACACAACGTTCCAAAGATATTTCAAAAAGCCAATTCAACCATATTTCGACCATACCTTTCGGTTAAACTTTCAACAGCTAAAGGATAATTTTCATCTGTTACAGGAAAAGATTCCACAATTACCCTAGCTTCCAATTTCAGCTTTGTCGACTGAATTAAATAGTGAAATTTATCAGCTTTCGTTATATTAACATTTTCATGAATATTTTTAAATTGGTTCCAAAACGCTAACCAATCTTTCAAGTCTCCGCCAAATTTATATAATTCAACTTCGGGGAGCCGTTGACATAAAGCTTTCGGAGATTTATTGTTCGGTAATTCGCCGTTATTTTTGGAAGTAACAATTTCGTTTTCATTCGAGTTCTTTTTCAAATTATCTAAGGAACGTTTAGCTTTTAATTGAATTCTCAAAGCTTTTTCTCGGTATTCTTCAACGGAACTATATTCAGTTTCGAATTCTTTTTCATCTAGCAAACTATCTAAATAACTATTATGAGTTATTTCCAAAATGTCTACCTTTTGTTCAAATAAACAAAGATCCGTTTCGATTTCGTCATACGTCACGCTATCGCCAATTAATAAATTTTCTAGTTTACTGTAGGCCTTAGTAAATGAAGCTCTTTGAGCCGTTTTATTTCTTTTTATTATTTCCATTTTTACTATCTTAATATCAAATTCTTAGCTTCTGAAACTATCGATCCAAGCACATATAAATTACCGTTATGGTATCAAATATTCAAATAAATATATATATATATTTCAAATCTTCAAAAGTATTCAAATTGTCAAATATTTAATCTTCAAAATGGAAATTAATAAATCTTCGCCTACCTTTCTTACCAATCCTTAAGACAAGGCCGCCCACCCGGGGGCGCCAGAAATGTCGTTCCTAACCGGATTGACTGTGTTTGTGAGAGGCATCTTGTCTATTGATTGATAACGTTTAAAAACAGGCAAAACAAAACATTTATTTTAAATAAAAAACAACAAAAAGCAAAACAAAACACAGCGTTCCAAAGATATTTCAAAAAGCCAATTCAACCATATTTTCAGTTCTCTCTTTCATCTCTTGCCATACTTAGAGTAACCTACATATTCCGAATAATTTTGATGGCGCAAACTACTTGGATTTAGTACTTGCCGCAACAGGGACCATATTTCCCAGAGTTCGGCTACCCCCTATATTTTGTGGGTTAGAAATGTACATCCGTCGAGAAAAGGTATGTTTTTCAGAGAAAGTACGTTTTATTTTTGTCTAATTTCATAACTTAAAATATGGTTTGCTTTAATTAATTAACATATTTGAGATCCTTTTAACCCTTAAGATTGAGTTCAAGAACGTAAATATCCGATCATTAGATCATCTCGCAGTAGAGTGAACTTTAAGACACGGTTCCCAGTGGAACACCGAAGTCAAGGATCACTGACTACCGTCAGTGTGTGGATGGGTCATCACTTTGATCAACCTACAAAGGAACTAAAGGTGTGCGGTATCTATCCTAATTAAGCTTTTCAACCATTAAGAGCTCGACTTCACGCGCAGGTCGTCAAGCAGGAGATCCATCCCCTCTACAGAGGATCAAAATTGTGTTGACATGTATTCGGATCATCCTCAGGAATGTTTCCCTACTCTGCACCAATACCCCATTGTTCATCGTCAGTGCGACATAGACCAACAAAAACAACCGATCATTAGATCAAAAAATTTTCAGAGTAGTCTGCTTTCCGTTTTCAACAAGAAATTTATTCATTCTACGTCCATATGCATACAATGTACTCACGTGTGCATGTACTATATGCATGTACTGTCTAATAACAATGTTATTCATTCAACGATATTTAAAGTAACAGCAGATATATAATTATATACTGCGTGTGCATGCATGTATTTTTATTTATACGTGTGCATACACCTGTATACATATAATGTACGCATGTATTCCTGTACGTACAATATGTACGTACATACAATTCATGTGTATATACATAAAATTTCATTCAATACAGGGTGTCCCAAAAGGTCGTTTACAAACTTAACATGCTGGTCTGTCATATCATGATGAACAAGATTTACACAGGAACTTGTGTCCGAAAATTAAAACTGCGACCGCTAGAGGGCGATAATTGCACGAAAACGGGATAGTGGGGAAAACAATCATTTCAGGCGTGGTAATGCATTTATAGTATAATAGTAAACGGAACTTCCATCGCATATTCTTAACCTTAATACCGGTATTATTAAATAAATGGAATAAACTTAGATAAATAATAAAAGCTAATTTTTTCCTCGTTTTAATTTTCAAGGAAAAATATGTTTCGATCAAACAGATTTCATTCTGGAAATAGCGAAATTATTAAGTAGGTCTCTTGGAGCAATATCATTCTTATCCTCTTTTGACGAAATATAGGAAAAATTGGTTTTCACAGTTTCTGTAAAAAGTATGTTAGCCTTCTTGCCACGGTTTTTTTTATTTATTTTTTATTAAAATAAGTTCGGAAATTGCGTATTTTTTATAGCATTTTTTTAAAATCAGATGACTCTAAAATTGGCACGGCTTCGAAACCTTCTTACAAATTTCAATTTTTAGTATTTCCTACTTAACAAAATAAGGCATTTTCCTGATAACAAATTATACTACAATAATATATTGGGAATCGTGCTAAAGTAAAAAAATTAAACAAAATAGTTTAGTATATTATCAGGAAAAAAATCTACTTGGTATCATAAAGAAAGAGTAAAAGATATAATGAAATAATTAGTGAATCACACGTGATCAGATAATTAAAAATTTAATTTCACAACTAAGATGTTAGGACGACATTTAAGATATTTTAAGACGCTTAAAAATTTGGCTGCGTATTCGACAGCTTTTTATGTTCTGTATCTATAAACTCTTTGTAGTGACTTATAAAACATCAAAACTATTTCAGATAATCAATGTTTTTTATTTTATTTTATGACCGCCGTTGAACAGTCGACCCAATTTTTGGGTTTACGACTACTAATGTTCAACGCCGTAGCTTTGTAATTTTGAACCAATCCAGAAGACAAGGAAACTCCTGGATCGGTAGATGATCTATGTTGAAGTCAAAAGAAACAACAACAAAAGAGACAATTAATAATTTATACTCTTTTTTTCAAAAAAAAAAAAAATAGTATGCTTCGTAAATAATCAGCTGTTTTGCATTAAATAATTTTAAACAGCGGAATGTTTTTAATTTCTTAACAAGGTTTTATTCTTAGCTCGCAGACAATAATTCTTTTTAAGAAAACTCGACTATAATTTAGAAAGGAACTTTACTTTAAAGAAAACCTAAATTAAAGAACTAAAAAAAATTGATTAGTATATTAATAAAGAAATAATAAACGTAAATGGATAAAGAATAAGATTCTTAAAAATGTCAAAATTTACTTAAATAATTGGTAAAATAGTTCTGCGAAACACTTGTGAAACACTTCCGGAAATTTCTATTAAGATTAAGACGAAATAGGGTAAGCCAACCAGTGATGGAACACACCCCAGTGAAGGAACATTTCATAGATAATTTTTTAAAATAAGATTTTAAACGTTTTAATTTAGATTGATTGGTAACAGTAGCTTACTACCTAACAATAGGAAGTCAACTAACAATGCATTGAGTTACCTGGTCTTAGAGTCTTCTCTGGAAAAAGTTTTGAATTTGTTAGTATCTGTTCAACGCCTTGTTTCCTTGACACGATTATAAGGTCAGTGGTGCTAGTTATCCGTTTAAAGTAAAATTAATTGCATATAGTAATGCTTTTTTTCTCATTGTAAAAAAGTTGTTCAAAATATGGTTATTGAAGTTACGTTTTATTTATTTCAAGCATCATAACATAAGCAATTACTGAGATTAGGGGGTGCTTATTAACTGGATTACCAAACGATGAAAAACCAATGAATAAACAAGTGTTCTTTTATTGGGATTTTTACAAGTTAATGAAAATAAAAGAAAAATTTTAATTTTTCTGTACTTTTAGTCATATTATGTATCAAAATTATGTTAAAGGTATAAAAAACAACTTCTAACCAGTGAAGGAAC